AATAATAATAATAATAATAATAATAATAATAATAATGGCATTTCGGGCAGTATATCCACAGGGTGGCTCTTCGCCTGCCCGATGCTAACTAAATTTACCAATGTCCAATTGACCAATGTCATTCGGTATGGATATTTTTCGGTTCCAAACTCCTATGTCGATTCTGAGAGAGATGAATTGAACGCGCGAAGGCACTCGTATTTTTGCACAGGTTAAAGTATTTCTTATAGTATGTTTATTGCACCCTTCAACCTCGCTGTCCAACTGACTAACTCTCAACTTCACGCCTAATAGTGGGAATTAATAAACGAAAAAAAGTTTACGACCCATCGACTGCCTGCCCGCCTGCCCGCCTGCCTGCCTGCCTGCCTGCCTGCCTGCCTGCCTGCCTGCCCGCATGCCTGACTGAGCAAGTGAATTATTTCTTCCCCAACTAACTGATATAACTCCCTCTAGCTACGCTGTCACTCGTTAAAAACAAGACTACCAGAATTCCAGAATGAATGTTACTGGAATATTAGACTTACAGTGTATTTTTCCCATTTCTTCTCAGGATCATAAGGCTCCCACCTACTGGCGGGGAAAATATGTTTGTTTCTCTCGTACCATGAACGAAGAACCACTTTTCCTGCATGCGACTACGAGGGCAAAAACATTGAAAAAATTACAAGAAGTGAAAGCATCAGGTTGATGGCATAATTGTGTGTGTTACAATTCTGAATTTGTTTCAAATAAAACAGAAGAAAATATAAAATAAAAATATATTCATAAAAAACTTGGGTAGTGACACTAGCTTGAAATTAGATAGGGCTTGGAAGATGTTTGTCTGTGATCTTGTTGTATTCTTTAGACAGTTAACTCACACAGTGCTTCTTTCCACCCAAGAGTACAAATGGTACGTTGTTAGGCCAACCTGACAGAAGATTGGGTTGGGCAGGGGGGGGGGGGGGGTAACCAACTAGCATCCCATCTAGGTAGGAGTAAGGATATTTCTAGCCACTTTACACTAAAGAAGCTGGGGATAAGTAAAAAAAGGTCAAGTCCGCATACAAGCCAAGTGGCCCATCACGCTTGAGCTTATCCCAGTTTCCGTAGTGTGAAGACACTAGGAGTATGTCTACTCCTCCATGGATGGGATGCTACATGTAGTCCATCGCACGGTTACCCACAGCATTCAATAGTTTGGCAGTACCCATTTATGCACCTGGGTTGAGAGAGGCACTCTGAAAATAAAGTGTCTTGCCCAAGAACACAACACAATGTCCTCGGCCAGGGCTCAAACCCAGACTGCTCAATCCAGAGTCAGGCGCACTAACCATGAGGCCTCCCAGGCTTAGGGAGATAAGTACTGATATGGAATAGACTTCTGGATCACTGCTGAGCTCCATCTTGTAACAAGATTTTGAAAATCACTCTTACAACCAACTAACCTCATCTTTTTCCACAGAGGCGTCACTGATCATCCTGACATCTTCATGGACATCAAAACTAAACAATGGTCCACTCTTACCACGAGCCTTGTTCACAATGAAGTCATAAAACGAGTAGTGCTACAGGGCAGATAAATAAACAACATTAAAATCAGGCAGTTGTAATCAAACACTCAGTTCCAATGGAAAGAAAGGCCTCATGACAGGCATATCCTGTCAAAACAGCCAGGTTTTGACCTGTTGTTTTATACTGGCAGTGATCTTCCAGCCTGCATTGAAGGTGTTTTTGTTTAAAGATACTGGGCAAATACAGTCCATGTCCATGATAGCTGCTATCTCGGATTCCAGAAGTAAAGAAGAGGGGAGGGGGTCAGGTTGAAAGAGTGGAGGGTACAGGAGAGGAAAAAAAAAACCTCCCTACACCCCTTCCCCCTCACTGGTTTGTCATTCTCACTACCGCCTCATTAGTTTTCTTTTTTAACTCTCTCCAGGCTTCCTGAATCTTACCAATCCAAAATGGCAGCTACAACACTCAAGTGTAATATTCAGCACGTTTGCCAAAAAATACACCTGATGTGCAGGAAAGAGATCTTCCAGGCAAGTCAAACTGCAGTATAAAAGAAATCAAGTCTGGTGCATGCATTACAGAGCTATATATGATGTTATACTTGAAGGGGTACCTGGAACAAAGCCTCAAGTGAATTCAGATAAATTGCTAGATTCTCCTTCCAGGTTGCCTTGTATTCCCTTGTGAGACACAAGGAGAGTTTGATGCTGCATCAACAGTCATTTAAGGCCTTATTCTGTGCACCCTTCATTGTTAACAAAAGAGCACAAGCAAATTGAATTTGAAAACTATGAATGTTACTTACATGTGGTATGATGAGATCCTCTTTGATATACATTAGGTTTTCAGTACTCACAGTCCTACAGGGAGTAGAAAGAAAAGTCAATGTTTAGACAAAGACTGGTCTCTTCTTTCCCTTAGCTTGTTGAGCAAGAAGTGAAAAAGAAGCAAGGGCCATTTCTTCCTCCTGCTTCTGTTATGGCTTATAATGCTTATTGCTCAAGAAACTACACAACAGCTTCATAAAATACTTCTTAAAATACTAGCCAGTGATGCTGGACCTGCCAGCTTACATGATTTCATAACATTAAGGCACTCCACATATCATCTCAGAGGCAACACAATAGTGGACTTTCCAAAAGTAAAAAGAACATTTTACAGTTTAAGATCATGGAGATATATTTAATTTATTGTGATCTGAATAGCTCTGAGGAAGAGCACTACAGAACCCACTGACAAAAAAGGAATACATTTATACCAACATCAACTTACCTAAATTCAGTAAAATCCTTCCGGAGTTGCTCTATGCCTTTTTGGAGAAACTGTGAGATTGTGTTACCTTTCTTCATCTGCAGTAACAATTAATATAAAAGAATGCTTTTTCACTTAGATGTTACCAAGTTCACTAAAGAAAGAAACAGAACAGTTGAACATTACCATTTTTACTGACATGCATCATACTTGTCTGGAAAACTAGAAACCATCATCATCTCATCTGTGAGTTGTAGGAGTTATGTTGTATTTTGATGAAGTTGAAGGAGAAATGATAATACAAACAAGATGTAAACATTTAAATATACAATAATACTTAATGTACACAAATCTGCCCGGTAGGACATTATTTTGTTGTTCAACTGATTTGAGACATTCACACCGTGAACAATTTCATGCCTCCAACCCTACCGTTTCAGATGCAGCTGTACAACCATCTACTACACAAAATAACTTAACTGTACAAAAGTCACTGTATAATGTTATCATACAGCTTTACCTTTATTGTTCGTCTATGTCCTGATCCATCCCAGTAGCTGTATGTGATTTCCACATCTTCATCTACAAAAATGTAAGTGAAAATAGGTTTGTGACTCCCTTTGTCAATTTATTATACACAATCTACCAGGCAAAATAAGTATGGTCTCAATAATTTTAGACCATGGACCAGAAATCTGGTACAGGCTCTGGACGACAAATTAAAGAGCTGCTGCTAACATCAAAACTTTCATCACTGAAATTAGGAGATGAATATCATTTTCACACCTGTCAATGCTAATTGCGTAACACAGCACAAATCAATTGAATTCCAGCTTGCCCGTTGAAAAGGAGCTGTTAAATTTTGCTTGCCCAGGGCAAGTCCTAAAATACTTTTTTTTTATTTAGTTGGCAGATGACTTGCCTTGGTGCTTGCCCATCAGGCAAGTGAGAATGAAAAGTAACTTTCCCAGAAAGAAAATCTACATTTAGCTGTTAAGCTACCAACATAGCAAGTATCAATATCAGCAATGACTGCTGTAATGAAGTATTTCTTAATTATCACTCACTTTTAATTTTCTCTTGTTTCTCCACCCATTCTTGTCTGATCTTTTCTCTTTCTTGCCTTTCTATCTCCTGTCTCAAAATGAACCATAAAATCCACTAATTACACAATTCAGGTTTAAAATCTCATTTGCCATAAAATTATGGCAAGATCCTAGGTAAAATTTAAAGGCTGGCTCTCACTTTCAAAGAGTCAGAGTTGAAATCAGGGGCACAGAGCGATACAATCTAGTGAAAATCAAACCAGGGGAGTTGGAAACAGAACACCAATTTTGCTTATGACTCTGTCACTTACATGTATGATATAGTGAAAACTAGATTGTCCGAGTGAAGAATAAACCAATCACAATGCTTGATTCCAAGCATCGTGATTGGTAGGTTCTTGTACTTCTGCCTCTGACTCCAACAATCTAGTTTTCACCGAATCATAAGTGATGGAGTCGTACAAGTACATGTACATGTAGGTGGAATTGGACGAAAGTAGAAATACTACTCTGTCGCTAGTGAAAACCAGCCTTAAACAGAATAGTTGGTAGGACGTGTAATCTGATCTTGCAAAAGATCCTGTACGATTAAATTATGTCAATGAAAAAAATACGGAGATGAAGTCTTTTAATTTATTCTTTGATCATAAAGTACCTCTCTTTCTCTATCAGGCAAAAATGATGTATCCACATCAGGATTTTTTCCTGGTTTCTTCTTTTTTAATGGGACAACTGAAGGAGAAAAAAAAAGAACAAATACTGAGCTACAAGAAAGCAGTTGTTTAACCAGCTGTTGTTGTTGGGTTTTGATCATGTTGTTAAATGTTTTCAGGATAATGCACACGTACATGTACTAATGAAAGGCAGACATGAAAAATTAATGAAAACAACATAAGCTGAAAATAAGTTAAAACGATGCAAAGCTACACAAAGTGACAATTTGACTGATGTTTTGCACAAGCAATCATTGCCAGAAAATGGTGCTAATTTATCATGTATGTGTGCATACAAGGAAGGTAACACATGTCACTTGTCAAGTTAAAACAAAGAAAATCACAACCGTGAAGGAGGTTTAGATATCCGGTCTTAATTAGCATAAATTTTGATGATTTTATTTCTCTGTTTACTCCTTAGTTTTCGTTTCGATTGACATGATATATCAGGCATGCACCCGAGACAGTGTTTTATCGGCTATCCAAACACCTTGAATTTCATCAAAAATACCATGATGCGTGTCGTGTTTTCAACTCTCTTCTCGATATTTGGATATCCTGATGAAACACTGTCTCTCGTGTTTGATATATACATTTACTTCCTGACATAATCATTACTTGATATCATCTAGATGCAATGGACAAAAGACATAATTTACATAGTCCAGCAAATAATATGTTTATGACAACAAAAATTCACTTGGTTTGCCATTACCTTCCTCTTCCTCTTCATCCTCGTCAAGATTAAATGACAATGCAGAGGAAGGCTTCAACTTGGCTTTTTTCTGTTTTCTTTTTGCAGATTCCCTTCAAATGAAAAGAAACTAGAAAATGACATAATATAATTGCATGTAGCTAAAGCACCACACACAAGTCCGTCAGATTACAAACTTATAAAAAATAAAAAGAATGATTATCTAAGCAACTTAAAGGAGAAGGTCACTCCAAAAAACTTTTTTTTTTTAAATGACAAAAATGACAATGATTTTGATTAAATGACAATGCAGAGGAAGGCTTTAACTTGGCTTTTTTCTGTTTTCTTTTTGCAGATTCCCTTCAAATGAAAAGAAACTAAGAAATGAGATAATATAATTACATTTAGCTAAAACACAACACACAAGTCTGTCAGATTACAAACTTATAAAAAATAAAAAGAATGATTATCTAAGCAACTTAAAGGAGAAGGTCACTCCAAAAAACTTTTTTTTTCTAAATGACAAAAATGACAATGATTTTGATTAAATGACAATGCAGAGGAAGCAACTTAATGGAGAAAGTCACTCCAAAAAACATATTTTTCTGTCAATGTAAATAAAAATCTTGCACTAAGTTTAGCTGCTCTCCAAAGTTTCAGCCTCTAAAGTGCAGGTTTTCCTTATGAAATTCATCTCCAAAGAAACCCAAAATTTGATATCATTGCCACTATTTTGAACAGTGCTCAGCAGCCAGGCTGCGTTTTCATGATGTCATTTCCATCCAAAGAATTTTGTCCATAGCTTGCGACAACTCTTTTAACTACCACTCTAGGTTATGGCTGCTCTTGAGCCATATCATTTCAAGCCAACCATGCTCTAAACCCCAAAAAAGATACTAGTGAAGATAGTATAATGGATAATTGGTTGGAGGAAAAACATTTTGCTGATCTTGTGAAGGATGCCAAGTCAGTTGTAGGTTTTTCTGATTCCCACCAAATTCGAGTTGGACGGAATGAAGTTACAAAGGCAAACACGGTCTGGCAGTCAAGTATCAAGTACAGTTTCAAAATGAAGACCTGTGTCCAAGGTCAAATTTTGGGTTTCTTTTCACACAAAGTTCTTCAGGATAGCAGGCCCTTTAGAAGCTGAAACTTTGGTGAGTGGAAAACTGAATGGTTACTTGTTAGGTGAAGACAAAAAAGTAAGCTATTTGGAGTGACCTCTTTAAATATGATTAACAGTGATTTCTCCTAACCCTTCAGCTTCATCAGATTTAAGTTTAGCAGCCAGCTGCTTTTCATGCTCTCGCACCAAATCCTCACGTTTGGCCTTCATTTCATCCAGGGTCACCAAACCTTTATAACAGAATAAAACAACCATAAAGTAAACAACATGCAGAGTTTCGACAAAACACTGACCCCTGGTCAGCTGCCCCCCTACTGACCTCCTATTGATCCCCCACGCTCTTATAGTTCTGGGCTTTTTAAAGTTTTCTTTTTCCCGTTGATTTTAAAAGGGGTCAGTAGTGGGATCAGTAAGGTGGGTCAGTAAGGGGGGTCAGTGTTTTGTCGTAGCCCCAGCATACATGGGTTAACAATTGTAATCGCTTTAAAGAGGTCATCAGAATCTTACTGCTACAATAATTAAAGTTTTGGTTTTAACCAGAGCCTAAAAAATTGATTCGTGACTTCCCTGGTAAAACCATCAGTTGACCAAAAAAGAAGAGCAAATATGTTTAATTTTCTGTGGTTAGGCTGCTACTGAACAAGAGCCAGCTCTTGAAGGCAATCCTTGATCTTTTTAGACTTTTCCCTGACCAAATGATACAAACATTTCTTTTTTATATATTACATGTGCCATAATTTATACTAACGAATGTAAACTGTCACTGTAAATAGTGCACAATAAAGAAGTTGAGTTGACTTGAGTAATATTTTAGTTACACTGTCAAACTTACCTATAGTACTTGACTTGAGCTGCTGCTCAACTACATCATAGTGAGATGAAAACTTGTTGCTAATATCTGCAATCTTGTGATTCTGCAAGAAACAAAATTCAACTACAATAGTTCGATTCATTTCATAGTCATCGATCTAAAGTTTACGAAAAAAAATCCAAATTCGCGAGACAAAAAACGTACCTCAGATATCTTGTTCTTGGCAGCTTCAATATCAGCTTTCATTTTTTCTCGTTTTTTCATCAGGGCCATGGCCCTAGCGCCTTCTTTCGCAGCTCCCTTGTATTCCGCCATTTTGCCTTCTTCTTGGCTTCGCGCGCGCACAGCTTGCTGGGATAAGCGCTTGGCTAGTGCCAGGCTTTCAAGCATAGGATGAGTCTGATCGCGATAATACTATTAGTAATCAAAGATTATTAGAATTAGAATTTCACTTACCGGATCGTGTCAACAGGAGGCAAAGAATGACGCGGCGGCCGATAAATGGGTTACTCACCGCAAAAGCCCGGACTAGACTAGCTACATGGAATGTACGCACTCTGTACCAAACCGGGAAATGTGCACAAGTAGCAAGTAGTCTCATCAAATGGGAACCAGTGTCCGACAGGATAATTACAGCAAGGTTAGATTCTCATTTTCAAAAAACCCACAATCATCCAATGTTATGCTCCAACGAATTATGCACCTGAGGAGGAGAAAATCGCATTCTATGATGCGTTACAAGCAACAGTTGACAAAGTACCAAGGAGTGATGTGTCTATAGTGTTAGGAGACATGAATGCAAAAGTTGGCGAGGATAACAGTGGCAGGGAAGAAAATATGGGAAAACATGGTGTGGGACCAATGAACGAGAACGGGGAGCTCTTTGCGGACTTTTGCGTCCTCAACAATCTGGTGATTGGAGGCTCTATATTTCCACACAAGAAGCACCATAAGTCGACGTGGATGTCACCAGATGGTCGAACCGAAAATCAAATTGACCACTTGAGGACATCAATGCTGGATGTACGAGTTATCTGTTATCCCATAAGAGACCCCGTTCAGGACGCCATCAATATGATGTCAGCAAACTGAAGGACCC